TGTGTGTGTGTGTGTGTGTGTGTGTGTGTGTGTGTGTGTGTGTGTGTGTGTGTGTGTATATATATATATATATATATAATTTATACAAATCTTTATGGTTTATATAATGTACAATGTTTCACTGGTTCAGTTAGATGATAGGATAAAATCTATTATCTCCGGAATCACAAAGTACGCAATTTTGACTACACAAAGCTGCGCTCAAAGAGATACACAGGTAATAAAGTAAGCCTACATACTGCATTAAGATGTTCTTAGCATCCTTTGCTTTTTGAGGATCCATAATGGGCTTGTATTAAAGACATACACAAAGTTATGGCAAGAAAGCATGCTAGTTACGTAATACTACGTTAAACATTAAATTCCTAGGCTACACGCTCTGAAATTAAAAGTTCAGTAACACACTGTACGTCTTCTGCATTGAGGCCACGGTATGAGAAAGACTGGAAAATGGTCACTGCAGTGCACCTTCCACTGAGCACAAACACTACACACATCTGCACACAATCAGCATATTTCCACACAGACCAAGCCTCGCACTCACATGGAATATGGTCTGGTTTTCCTTGTTCTGCAGGAGCTGTGCCCAGACCTGGTTTTGGACTAAGAGCAAGTTTCCAAGAAATGCCTTCTGGAGCAGAAAGCACAGAAAGTCCAAAAATAAGAAATTTAGAAATAACTAAAAGCTAGAAAAGCTATTGAGAAAGAGATAATTAGAAAGCAAAGCTTACAATGCAACTTTTTTCTATTTTCATATATGCCAGTGCCTAAGGACATTTCGATCACTACATGCAAGACTGCAAACTGTTGTATTTTACACTAATAGCAAAACTTAGTTGCAGCTGCTGAACATACAACTAGATTGCTTTGACTTGAAAGACTATAAAATTTGGTTTTACACACACACATACACACAGAACACACTTCCACCTACAAAAGTAACTCTCGAGAAAGAACTGAATCATACATTTGCACGAGCACTTTAGAACAAGGTATTCTGGGCCTCATTTTTTAAAATGTGAACAGTGAGATAAGCAGGTATGTACAGCAACCATTCTGTGACAAAAAATTAACATTTTTTTCTACTTGTACCCTTGGAGAACAAGTCACCTGCTGTGCTTGTGTTTGATTCTGGAGTGCCAGCTGAAGTTGAGCTGTGAAGAGAGCTGGGTTGGTTAGAAGGGAGACTGCTGGTGGTGCGCCAAGGATTCCTGAAAGAAAATCAATACAGTTTATTTCATCCTATTAGGAAAAATGGCAAGGCAACCTACCAATATTGTAAAAAATATAAGCAAATTTTGAAATTCTTAAGTCATTGGAGGCTCATAATATCTTATTGAGTTTGGCTTTTGATTTACTGAATTTGAATGCCTCCGCCCTCCAAAAAAAAAAGTTTATCTTAATGTTATTGCTTGATAGCATTGGCACATTCACATTGGGTAGCCTTACAATGAGTTTTAGTAAGTTTGGCTTTGCCTAATAAAAATGAGAAATGTATACATTCGAAGAAAGAATGTCTTAATCTACTGAGTAAGTCTAGGAAGGACTGAAATGCTTCACAAAAGTGCTGTATGGCATAACCCGTACAGCACTTTGTTTTTCTAAGCCATATTACTGGTTAGCTTAGAACAGGGGTGTCAAACTCAAGGACTGTGGGCCAGATTCAGCCCACACGGTGCTTAGATCTGGCTCATGGACCACCCTGAAAACAGTGAAGGACCGGCCCATGGTGCTTCTTCCAGCGAAAATGGAGCTCCCCCCCGAGCTTCGTTTCCCCTGGCAAAGGGCTGCAGGAGGCAGTCACAGCTGAAAACGGACGCCCACCTGGCCACACAGACACTCCCCCACCCCCCAGTTCGAACACAACACTGATGCGGCCCTCAACTAAATCAAGTTTGACACCCCTGGCTTAGAACATCAGAAACCAAGCCTAGCTGATAAGTCCTAAGTATTTATGCCATACTGATTTTTCTAATTCAGATAGTGAGAGGAAATCAAGCTTTATCAATGGAATTATAGGCTGGAAGCTTATAAATATCACATAGGCCAAGTCCCTAAGTAGCTTTCAGACTCAGAATTCTTTAACTGAACTTGCCTTGCTTTCCTCCAATGGCTCCATGAAGTAGGGGGTTGAGTAAGAGTTGGAGAGACGAAGGATTCCCCAAGCTGTTCAGAATCTGAAGAAGATTGGGTTCGGGGAGAAGCCCTTTACCACGGTTAAGTGCCTGAAAAAGATAACAGCAGAATCAAAAAGGTATCTGGATTCTTTGGCAGAGAAAGAAATGTGCATTCATAGCTCTTATAGGCAGGAAGAAAGCATCCATGTGCAAGCTGAAGATTTAATTATTGCAGCAATGTGATGCATTGGTCAATCTTTTGGGTTATTTTAATCGACGAAAAAAACTTCTAGTTCCTGCAAGATGCATTTTGTGTTACCTCTTGAGGGGTGGCAGGAAATATGGCTATCATTATCAAAATACTTGATAATACAGGTGACATCAATAAAGAGTTGATCATGACTAAAAGGCAACTGATGAAAATACGAGTGTTTGTTAATAATGAAAATGAAGAGGCCTGTGGTATTCACCAAGATGCAGCGCTTGTTCCAGGCCAAAATAAAATTATTAAAATAACAAAAGCATATGACATATGGCATTTATTAGCAAGAGACAAATTATATACAGAATCAGGACTGCAAGCTGAGACTTACTGTTGCTTGGGCAGCTATCAGAGCAGCTAGCATACTTCGTCCAGCTGGACCCGGAGCACAGAAAGAGACTCTGATATGGTTCCCAGCAAGTAGAAAGCCATCGGTAGCCTGCTGAACCATCTCTGCTATCTCAGCTGACTCATATTCCAGGACTGCAAAGCCTTTCAGCTGCCCATCCTGACCACATGCCAGCTGTATGAAAAGGGGGGGGGGGAACAGCACTATGAAAATGACCTAGTTACTTCATGTTTTTAATGGAATTAGTTGGGAGAAATAAGCGGGCTGACTTCACATATCTCATTAAGCTATAATATTGTTCATATTGCTTTGTTTTTGGCTGAGCACACTCTTTGCACCCAGCCAAAGGATCAGACAGTTGAATATAAATATAATCAATATAAATATCAAAGACACGTTCTGAAAAATGGAGGCTAGAGAGATAAGAGCTCCAGACTTTCCTGGCTTAATGTCTTTTGGGTGTTGCAACTGACTTCGTCCTCACTGCAAAAGTCTCCAGTGTAATCAAAACATTCCCCAGAAGACATATATTTTGTTTAAATAAAATATTAAGCAAAATATTGCAAGGAAATGAAATTGCATCTGAGCTAGAGTGTCTTTCACCCTTTTCAATCCTGTTTTTTTAAAACCTTTGCTTCTGAAATTACACAAGGACTGTAACTAAATTAAGTGCTGTGTCAACAGAAGCATTATGCACATAAAATAAATGCTCATCTTTTTGTATATAAGTGTCTAAGCAAAACCTTCAACCGTTTCTTATTGAACATTCATATCAAGAATAATGCAATCAACATGTTTTGTATATCATTCAAATAAACAATGTGGCTTCTTTCATTCTGGCTCATGTATGTGACGTGTAACCCATGGTTTATGACATAACATGTAGGTTCATCCCTAGTCTGGTTATTCATGTAGCAGATATTGTCCATATTGTTATTATTAGGTGGCCATAAAGGTAACGCCAATAACATCATCTGTTCAAAAGTTGTTTGGCAAACATAAACCAATTAGAGGGAAACAAAGCTGCAGAATCCATGCAAAAATGAATCAATTTAAGGATTAATTTCTAACTCTACTGTTCAGTGAAATTCTTGAAAAGGAGAAGCAAATGCTAAGAATTGGGAGGTGTAAAGAATGGTAATTTCTACAGTCACTCAATTATGCTTCTATAAAATATCCCCATCTATTAATATGTGCCTCTCTTGTCCATATACCAATATACTGTTGGATCGCAAGAGGCCTGTGATTTTTGGGCTCCTTTTAACAATGAAAAACATGTCAGTGCTGAGATATAGGTGGGGATTTTGGGGTGGGAATCTTTAAATTATATCAGGCCCATTTTAGTGTTATTCTTTATATGTGCATTTGATTAAATTATGTGCCATCAAGCCATTGTCAATTCTTAGTGACCAAATAGGTAGATTTTCTCCATGAAAATTATGTATACCCTGTTTCCCTGAAAATAAGACCTCCCTGGATAATAAGCCCAATCAGGCTTTTGAGCACATGCGCTAAAATAAGCCCTCCCCCAAAATATTGCAACACAGCAGCAGCCATGAGGTGACTACATTCGCCGCCTCCTACACCTCAACAATAAGACCTCCCCAAAAATAAGGCCAAGTGCTTATTTTGGGGGTCAAAAGAAAATAATACCCTGTCTTATTTTGGGGGAAACACAGTATTTCTTTGTTGATTCTTGAACATAGTGCTGCCAAAATCTGATAAATAGCAATAGTAATAGCAGTTAGACTTACATACCACTTCACAGGGCTTTCAGCCCTCTCTAAGCGGTTTACAGAGTTAGCATCTTGCCCCGAACAACAATCCGGGTCCTCATTTTACCCACCTCGGAAGGATGGAAGGCTGAGTCAACCCTGAGCCGGTGAGATTTGAACAGCCGAACTGCAGAACTGCAGTCAGCTGAAGTAGCCTGCAGTGCTGCATTTAACCACTGCGCCACCTCGGCTCAAAAGCCTGATTGGGCTTATTATACAGGGAGGTCTTATTTTCAGGGAAACAGGGTATACATAATTTTCATGGAGAAAATCTACCTATTTGGCCGCTAAGAATTGACAATGGCTTGATGGCATATAATTTAATCGTAAAGCAATGAACGTTTCCACAAACGGCAAGAAAGAAGTTTGTAAACATTCAGTTCTCACCAATTTTATAGTAAAGAGACTTTCAATTATTGAGAAATGCACATTTTCTTTTAAGCTTAGAAAATTCCAGATGTTTAAGGAATTAGGACAAGGAGAAGAAGCTAGCTTCCTTATTGGACAGGGTGTACATTCTGTTGCATTCATAAGAGCAATCCATATTTAATTACAGCTTGACAAGGGATAAGCAACATAATTTAGAAACGTGGGAAAAGGAACCTACATAGGGAGCATCATTTAGTCATGTTGTTGGGATGCTACATAATTACCAGAAAAGCAGCCCCCCCCCCCCCACAACTAAGATCCTTACCTGGCAGAATGTTGGAGGACAGATGGCGGAGAAGGTCTGCTTTAGTTCTTCAAGATCATTATAACCGTGGGGCAATTTATCTACACAGAGGCATTTTGAGTGGATAAGGTCTAGAGTCAGCTGGTTGACATCTATCCAATGAACATACAGAGTCCGTGTTCCCAGCTGCTTGCCCAACAGGTCAGACTTTGCTCTGGCTGCCGAATCCTTTTTCATGTATTCCACAAAACCGTAACCTTTCGAGTGTCCCCTTTTCTCACTGTACACCAAGAAGCAACGCTCTAAGTTCCCAAACGGCCGGACCAGGTCTTCAAACTGTTGCTGCGTATAAAGGTGGGGCAGATTGGCAATGCACAAGAGGGCATCTGTGGGTTGTAGTTGCACTGTGATTTCCTTGTCTCGCAGGGTGCTCAAGTGAAATTTCTTAATGGCCGATTCTGCCTGTTCCCCGTTCAGTAAGGTGACGAAAGCTGCAAGAAAAGGAGGACGTGAAGGCAATTGGCAAAACGCTCCATAGCAAACATATATAATAAGCAAAGCTCTCTTGAAGATTTCTGGCAGAACGTTTACGCAATTATAAACAAATGGTCTTGCTCAACTAGTCAAGAGAGAAAAAAAACTTTGTGTTTCCAGAGTGTCTGGACAATAAATACTTTCACAAAGTCGTCAAGCGTGGTTGATTTTTTCTTTTCCTTTTCCTTTTCTCCCTCTAGTTCTTTATTTACACTTCTCCGTGATAATGAAAGGGAGGATAGGTAGTGTAAGGCAGTGTTTCTCAACCTTGGCAACTTGAAGATGTCTGGACTTCAACTCCCAGAATTCCCCAGCCAGCGAATGCTGGCTGGGGAATTCTGGGAGTTGAAGTCCAGACATCTTCAAGTTGCCAAGGTTGAGAAACACTGGTGTAAGGATCCAGATACTGTCAGGTCAGGATCATTTCAAGAAGACAATTATGTTCAGAGAACTTTCATCTGCCGCCATTTTGTCAACTCGGACTGTAGCCTTGTTATTTTGTAAGAGAAACAAACACTAACAACATATGTCAACTGTCAGCATTGTAGTAAGCTGGGCATGGATCTTTAAAGATTGCTTTCTTTTCTTCTCTCGTAGCATTTTATATTTCCCTAATTCTCAAAGGAGAAGAACGACACTGTATAAGAGGATCTCTGTTTTTTTTTTTTAATTCACAGACTCCAAATTCTTCACTTCCTACAAGTTATTCTATCAAAGGCCTTTTTGATGTAAGCAAAAGTGCATATTGTTCCTCTATGTTTATCGTTCTACATGGGGCTGCCCTTGAAGAGTGTTCGAAGACCTCAGTTAGTCCAGAATGCAGCCGCGCGAGCGATTGTGGGTGCACCAAGATACACCCACGTTACACCTATCCTCCGCGAGCTGCACTTGGTCCCTATTAGTCTCCGAATCCGCTTCAAGGTGCTGGTCGCTACTTATAAAGCCCTACATGGCATCGGACCTGGGTACCTGAGAGACCGCCTCCTGCCGATTACCTCTCTCAGACCGATTAGATCTCACAGGTTAGGTCTCCTCCGGATTCCATCTGCCAGCCAATGTCGGCTGGCGACTCCCCAGGGAAGAGCCTTCTCTGTTGTAGCTCCGGCCCTCTGGAACGAGCTCCCCGTTGAGATCCGGACCCTCACTACCCTTCCGGCCTTCCGCAAAGCGACTAAGACCTGGCTGTTCCGGCAGGCCTGGGGCTGTTGAGTTGTCCAGCCCCACTTCAGGTTTGTGACTGTTGTGTAATTTTAAACTGTTCTTTTATTTTATTTTTATATCCCCCCCCTCCCTTTTATTGTAAGCCGCCCTGAGTCTCTTTTGAGAGTGGGCGGCATACCAAATTTAATAAATAATAAATAAAAATAATAAATATTATACTGGATTTTAAAGGCACTTGAAAGCAAAAAGTCTCAAGGATCATGAAAATACACTAAGACAAGGCTGTGCTCATCTTTCCGTGCCCTTTTCAGTAATGTATTTGCCATATTAAACATACCCAAAATATATTTCTAATACAACATTTTGTTTTCTATATATGTACGTATGTTGTTATTTTGGGAAGAAAATATTCATCAAGCAATTTTCAATCCATCTATAGGAAGGCAAAAACTGGGCTCTTTTAGAATGCTAACCTCAGAAACTCCATCCTAATGCAATGCAAGCAGCTGTGAGCTACTAATAGCTTGTTCCTACCCTATATCTCAATAAAGCATTAATCAGTTAATGCGCTTTACATCCGAGTAAAACTTTTTATCAGGAAAGGCATGCTTTCATGCTTTACACCGATCTAACTAATATATTGATGCAATGAAATAACTCAGCTTCAGAGAGGAAGAACAGTGCTTTCTAAATTTAGTGATAAAAACTCATACAGAATACAAAACAACTTTACCACCATCACCCCATTTTAGGAAGAACTTAGCAGACAATATTTAAAAATGCTCTTCCACTACCATTCACTTATTTCTAACATAACATAAGTGCTCTTAAAACCATCTAGTGTAAATATTACCTAGAAAAGTTATTTAATCTGTGAATATTTTCTATGGAAAAACTGGAAGGGTTTTATTTACCAAGAATAGGGTATTCTGCCTTAGGGTGGAAAGATCCAGATATATTATTCATGACATTCCAACCCTCAATTCATAGCAAAGTACTTTATAAATGCAATTTTACTCACCTGTTCCTTTGTATTTGTCCACAAAGCAATACTTAAGTGTGTAATCACTCAAAAGATCATGAATTTCCTGCATAAAATTAACAAAATAAATCATACTGAGGCAAAAACATGAAATTGTGTTTTTTTTAATCAAATGACTTCCTGTCATCACTCCACTTCCTTTTCAATGGTCTATAGAACAATGCCAAGTCAGAGCACTATTGGTAACATATTTATAGTAAATGTTAGAGAAAGATATCCATAATTTTGGCAGAAATTATGTGAAAGCATAATCAGTACTTTGAACAATTATTTCCAAATACATACAGATTTGAATAAACAATGATTAGCAAAGCACAGGGATTCAGGTAGTCATAAATGTGTTAATCATCTCTTGTTAAAGAGAGCACTCACCCAGGATAATTTTTTTTTTAAACTATTTGGAACAAAGTTGAAATTTGTGCATTTCACGACTGACTCAGCCATCAAATATACATTTGTTTTTAGGATTCTCAATGTTTGAAGCAAATAAACGCAATATTAAAGTAGTTATTTTAATTATTGTATTACTGTATTTTTCGGAATATAAGACTCACCTTTCTCCCCCCCCTCAAAAAAGAGAGTGAAAATCTGGGTGCGTCTTATACACTGAATAAAGCATCTTTGGCCAACCAAAACCCTGTACCCTTTGCAAAAATGGACATGCAGAGGGTTTGGGAGTCTTACCAAGTGCTCCTGGGGGCTAGGGAAGGCAAAAATGAGCACAAAATGAACCAATTTTGCTCGTTTTTGCCCCCTTCTAGCCCCCAAGAGCACTCTACCAGCCTCCCAAAGCTCTGCATGCCCCCCTTTTTTTGCAAAAAATGACCCGTTTTTTGCTAGTTTTTGCCCTCTCCCCAGCCCCCAGGAGCACTCTACAAGCTTCCCAAACTCTGCACGCCTCCCCCCCCTTTTTTTTTTTGCAAAGAAAGAGTCGTGCAGAGGGTTTGGGAGGCCTGCAGAGTGCAGAAACATTTTTTTTAATTTACCTCTTCCAAATCATGGTGTGTCTTATACTCCGGTGTGTCTTATAGTCCGAAAAATACGGTATAAGATAGCCTAACTACATATTAAACTCAAATGCTATTTCCAAATTGACCAATATTTTATAATGATTTGACATTAAATATTAAACAAATAAAATGCAATTGATCATGAATAAAATTAATGGGGTCAATTATTTCAAGTTTATTTTTACTGTGAAGGTACAACAGGAAATCACAAACCACTTCTGTATCATCATGAAACTGGAATTTGCTTTACATTTGCAGGAAACAACTGTTCGAATTAGTAGTTAAATAAAATCTATCCGTGTATTCTAGCCGTGTCTGATCATTTTGATTATCTTGTTTGAATTATCTGGGTTGCTGCAGAACTACTGTATTGAACGTGAGTTGCCTGGGCCCTCAGCCAAAGGATTCGTTTTCTCAGTAATTGCACTGTGGCAAAATAGCCAAGCCTGTGTTCTGGTGTATTCACAGGC